ATATAAAGGCATTTTTTAATAACAAAACTAAATTTAAAAAATTAAAATGTCTTAACTTTAAAAATGTAAAACATCCAATTACAAAAAAAATAATAATAATGTTTTACATTGGTATTAGAAGATTGAATGTCTTGAATTATTTAATATTAGAATATTTTGATTTTTACTAAAAAAATACTTTACTTTTTAAAAAAAAAATGTTGATTTGATCTTAATAATATTAATAATTTAGACTTTTACAAATCCTTAAAATATCTCAATTAGTGGATTGAAACAACTATTTGAACTATTAAAATTAATTCTCCTAATAAAAAGAGTCATGATGAAACATAAAAATCTTCCCTTCATTTTATATATAAAATTGTGAGTCTAACTCTTTAAGATGTAATCGTGAGAGGTTTTAATTCTACTTCTGCCACATTGGAAAAAATAAAAAAAAAACTAGGAGGTGAGATCTAATCTCATTAAGGCCACGACTTTATAAATAAGGAGTACTGTATGTACTCAGCAAGTCTTCGCATGTTGTGATTGGTCCGCTTTTATTTTTCTGTTTTTAATTTTGTTAAAGAAAAAATAAGATGGGGACAATTAGAGCCTCAGTACAGTTAGTATTTCCTTCTTATAAATTTAAAAATTTTTTATTTTAAAATTTTAAAATAAAATGCACTCTGCCTAATCAAAGTACATCTAGTATTTTTCTTTTATAAAATTTAAAATAGACTCTTTTCTCCTTTTTTTTGGTAAAATTTACTACTTATTTTTTAAAAAAATATAACTATTTTATACTTAATTATTAATTTCACATTCTTTAAAATGAGTAGAAAATGACAGCAATGTCCCTGGACAGGGGCAAGAAACCTGGCAGCAACGACTAAAGTTGCTGACGGTCAATATTGTCCAACTTGAGGATGTTGTGTAAGCAACTCCACTATAATACACAGACACGGCCGGGTCTTGCGTCAAACCTCCCCACCTCTATACGCCGGTCCGATGAGGTCTTCCTCTCATATTTCACGCGTAAAGCATCAATCGGCAGTGTTTGATTTCATTCCCGTACCTAACTAGCCCCCCTCTATCGGTCTTCAGGTACTTTGGTTCTCGTGCTCTTTTTTTTTTGGGGGGGTGGGGGTCATCTGGTTGTGTTTGAGATATCTTGAAGTCATACGCATAATTGTTGTTTCTCTGTATGGATTCTGAGATCAACATGCTCTGTTATCTGGGTTTTGTTTCATTTGTGATTTGGTGAATTGGGTTTCTAGAATTCAGTTTATCTATTGAGGTTTTGGCGTTTGATTTCTTTGGGACTTGGATTTGCAGTCATCTTTCTGATTTCTGGGCAGTTTGTCAGTTTGGTATATTGTGAAACTCTTTGATTGAATTCAGTGGTTCAAGTTACAAATTAAACTCAATCCAGAAAACGTTGTTGAGGGGCGGGAGTAAAAGTATCAACTTGATATCTAGCAGGGTTATTTATTGAGGTCAATTGGCAGTGGCTTTGGGGAAAGGGAAAATTTCTTGAACTTGATTGTCAGTTGTATGCAAAATTTCATCACGCAACTTCCTAGAGATAGCTTCTTTGTTAATTGTTGAGGTTGAACTAGAAGAATTCAGCTGTGTTATGGCTTCTTTGCCCACTGGATCTGTTTGTTGAGAGCAATTTAAAGCTTTTAATTAATATTATTGGGCTTTCTCTTGGTTTTTCTTCATTTTTTGGTTTCCTGTATTGGGTACAGACATTATTGCTTGGATTGCTTAAGATGATTTTTGGAGTTTCTTTGCATTTTCACCTCTTTTAGCTTTACTCATTTTAATTGGCAACTCGCAGGGCAAGAGATGCTTTATTTACCAATTAGATCAGAGAAATGGTAGTTGAGTGCATTAGTTCACTGAGGATGGCTGCTGCTTTGTTTTGTTTACTGCTGTTTGTGCGATTACCAATAATCTTTGCCTCTGGGTTTGAAGTCCAGTCAACCATCTGTGGTGCCGATCACATTGCCTACTCAAATTCTTATGGTTTTGAATTGTTTTATTTAAATGGAAATCTAGTAGATAAAGATGTGTTCTGCAAGGCTCTCCAGTTCCATCATGCAAATAATTGTCTGTTGAAAGGCAATCTTGAAGGTGATTCCTGTAGATTGGGCCTTTCATCAGGTATTTACTAGCTTGAGATATTGTTTTGGGTTTCTGATTTAAGAAAACGATATCTGATGTTTTTGCAACATGAAGTTTAGTTAACACTTGAAATGAACTTCTTAAAAAATGTCATCAACATTTTTTGGGTTTTGCAGCTGAATTTGCCTTCAGCCCTGCAAGAAGACTATTATTAAAGGTGGAAAGCCGAGACAACTCTGTAAATGGTTCTGCTCAGGCAAGTAATACAAGTGAGAAGAACAATGGTAAACATTTTATGTCAACTCCAAAAATTGTTGGAATGGCAGCAATTGGCCTTATCATGTCTTGTGTTATTATCTGCCCTTGCCTTTATAAGAGAAGGAGAGCGACTGCACACACTGTTCTAGCCAAGGAACCAAATTCAAGTGAGTCTAACTTCTTTAATAAGAATCTCTTTAACACTGTCTGTTTTTTATCACAAACAGAAATAAATTTCAACTATGATCTTTCTCTGGATAAGCTAGCAGCTTGAGTAAGTTGTTTTCAATAAATTATTTACTTCTCTCAAGTTCACAGATACTTTGCAAACTATGTCCATTTTTGTCTTCATCTTATATACCTCTTTTCCGGCTTAGCCTTTTCCTAATACTGCACAATTTGCATTTTTTATCTTAGCATCTGGTTAAAAAATGAGTGATTCTATTCCTGCAGTTGATTCAACTTCCTCTTGGGAAATGAGTTCTGTTTCTGAAAAGGTTCAGGCTCAGGCTCAGGCTCAGGCTCAGGCTCAGGCTAGTCCACTCAGGATACCACCAAGTCCTTCTAGGTTCTCAATTTCTCCACAACTTAGTAGACTTGGATCAGTGCATCTGAACATGAGTCAGGTAGTCAAAGCTACTCGTAATTTCTCATCATCACTACTGATAGGTGAAGGAGGGTTTGGAACTGTCTACAAGGCTCAGCTAGAATCTGGCCAGCTGGTTGCCATAAAACGAGCAAAGAAGGTAAGTTAAGAATTCCTTAATGTAACTGTGGAATTACTATGGAACCTTTTATATTGCTGGCTTGGGAATTCTTGGATCTCATTCTATTGATGATGAAGTTTGTGTTATGGATGGATTGAACAAAATATAATTGTGGCTCACATTTATTTTTGTTTCACTTTAAGGAAAGTTCAATGTCTTCATATAGGAATATATTGTGAGCTATCGAAGAAACTCTCCTTGTCTCCTAAATCCTTTTGAAACCTATGCACAAAAAATTTGGGACAAGTTTTTGAGTGCCTGGGAAATTTAGCTGAGAAAGTTTGGAACAAGTTAGCATCACAAGGTGGCATGGACCCTTCAGTTGAAGCTTCTACTGTAAATGGTTGATAAAAAAAGGCATAAATTGTGAATATGAGCTCAAACAAGTATTAAGTTATTCTATAGCAGGAGTTTGTTACACAATTGAGATTTTCATTAATTTTCACAGGATTCATGCTTAACATGGTAGGTTTCTGGGCTTAATGTTTTATGTTGGCTTTGTTGATAAAGAAGGAAAAAGTGGAATGGACAATTTTAATTATTTTGCTGGTTATAAATGAACTGTGTTATTTCTTTTAAGTATTCTTTCTTTGACATGATAACTTTTGTAGGAACATTTTGAAAATCTACAAACTGAATTTAGCAGTGAAGTTGAACTTTTAGCCAAGATTGATCATCGTAATCTTGTGAAGCTACTTGGTTATATTGATCAAGGGGATGAACGGCTTATTATAACAGAGTATGTACCCAATGGTACTCTGAGAGAGCATTTGGATGGTAAGGTCACTTGACAATAATTTATGCAAAAACTTTTCACTGAAAACAATAACAGTATGATACCTTGAAAGTGATAATTCTGCCATTAATCCTGGCAGGTCAGCGTGGAAGAATCCTAGATTTCAATCAGCGGCTTGAAATAGCCATTGATGTTGCTCATGGCTTGACTTATCTCCATATATATGCAGGTAAGAAAAACTCACTAATGTATCTGGATTCTGTGATTTTCATTGAATCTGTAATTATGAATTTGACATTACTACGTTTCTAAAGATTATTCCCTTGTAAGGAAAATTTTCATTTTAAGTCTTATAAATGATATAGGTGATATTTGCTGGAAGACAACAAATTTCCTTTTTTCTTTACCACTCAAACATGCGTTTTTAGGATTTATGATGTCAATCAATCTCTTCTGGTTGTGTGTTTTGTTCATGATTTGTGTTGTTATCTGTTCTATTTAATTTTCCTTTACCACATGATTTGTGTTCTCATCTTCTGCTGCTGCCTTATGAGCATGTATTTCCTCAACTATCTTGGTTAATGTTATTAAATGGTTTCTCTGTTACACATAAGTTTAGAGTCCATTTGTACTTTTTCTCCCAATGCTAATTTCACTACTGGTGAATTATAAGAAGGTTTTGTTCCCTAACGTCATTAGTTTGCCTAAACAAGAAATCATATTCTATTAGAGGAAGAGTTGGGGTTCCCTTTTGGTTTTTGGTATTTTGAGCTTTGCTTAAGAAAGTTTACCTTTGATTGCGGTTATAGTAATAGTTTATCATCAATATACTGAACATGAATAAATAAGTCATTGATTTCCAAATCCCAATAGTAATATATCTCAATTGTTGGACTTGAAAATAAACAGCAAATAAGTTATGTAAAACTTAACATTGTTAATGGATCCTGACTCTCTTCTGTCTATGGCATACACACATATGCATGTGTTAACCAATGCGCTACATAATCTTTAAGCTAGCCCCATAGTTTGATGTTTATTTTTGCATGAAGACTGGTTGAAGTAGAGGTCACCAATGAGATTTCATGCTGCTTATAGATTGGTACTTAGAAAACATTTGGTCTATTGAATTGCTATTAAATGTTTATTTTGTGGATATACAGTTACATAGAGAGAGAGAATATGGCAAAGTTGAAAGTGTTGTTGACCTAAGATTTCTTAGTAAGTGGAATAAGGTTCTAATGGCTAAAAACACTACGATGGAGGTATAGATTCAACCTTAAGAGCCTTTGGTCATTGACAAAAGGTAGGAAAAAGGGGCACTTACATCATGATTGGTTTTCATGGTTAGAAAAATGACTATTCCTTAGTCAAACCATAAAAACAAGGAAAAATCAAGAATTTCAATTAACGGACTAGGAATTGGGAGTCCAAGGCTCTTATACCTTCAATAGAAATGGGAATTGATTCTATAATGAGGAAGGTCGCATTCAGCGACTTCTTTCAATACCATTATCATTGTGGGCATCCCTACCAATCCCCATTCATTCATTTGGGCATCCCTACCAATCCCCATTCATTCATTTGGGCATTGGAAACTAATTAGTTTATTCTTTCTTTCCAACTGCAAAGGTTCAAGCCTTGGTAACTAATTAGTTTATTCTTTCTTTCCAACTGCAAAGGTTCAAGCCTTGGTAGTTGCTACTCTTGATCTTCTATTGTTAGTCTCTGTACTCTTACACAATCTAGGGTTTGGGAGGGAATGAAGTAGGTCATTTTCTTCTAAATTAGGGGATAACCAAGGAATATTAACACATTCTTCCTTAAAAATGGTTATTCATTGCTTAGTCGTAATTTAGAAGAAAATGTTCAAGCTTATTCCCTCTCTCTTCCGTGGCTTCTCAAGCCTACTTCTTGATTTTACACTCTTTCTTCGATTTAATCTAGGAATTGCCATTCTTTCAAACCTAACATACTCTTTAGGAATTTAATATCATCATCCTATTTCAATTAATTTCATATAGTATTGATGCAATAGCTATTCACTGAACCAAAAGTGGCCATAAATTACCAGCTATTAGGATTATCATCCTACCATCCTCCTTTTGATACTCTTGAGTGGCATGCCCATACAAGTTTTTGTCACCCATCGACGTTATACGTCTGTATGTGTGTCTCTCTTATGTTCATTTTGGGTTTCACAAGGGAAGACAACCCTTTTCCATCCCTTTACCCACCTAGGCCATCTTACCTGTATGCCCATGACTTGAACGCAGGACATGTTACTTCCATAAGGAGATTGCCATTGGCCGTTATTGGGAACCTACTGTATTACTTTTTTTCCTAATGTTTTTTCTAATATTAAAAAGCAAGGATTCAACTATGATGATCAACATTTTCATTGATTTCTTGTTGTTAATATGATAAATGCCTAACTTTCTCCTTGTCTTGAAACAGAGAAGCAAATCATCCATCGAGATGTGAAGTCATCGAACATTCTTTTGACAGACAGCATGAGAGCTAAAGTGGCCGATTTTGGCTTTGCAAGGCTGGGTCCAGTGGATGCAGAACGAACACATATTTCGACCAAAGTGAAAGGGACAGTTGGTTACCTTGACCCTGAGTACATGAAGACCTATCAACTCACTCCCAAAAGTGATGTATACTCATTTGGCATTTTACTAATAGAAATTCTGACAGGCCGCCGTCCTGTGGAGTTAAAGAGAAATCCTGAGGAGCGGGTTACAATTAGATGGGTAAGTTCGTTGCCTTTTTCTGTAAGGCAATCAGAAATCCAGTGATCATATTCATTAATTAGTTGGGTGGGGGATTAAAAGATTTCTCACAGGCAAGCAGTATAGGGTTGCATGATACTAGTTATGTATAGGAGTCAGTCTTTTCCTCACGAAAAATTACCTGCCTATTTACTCCCAAGAATCCAAAACTCATAGTTTCCCTTTTGATTTCTTTAGGTCTTTGATAAATGTGATGAAGGCAGGCTGATGGAGGTGGTGGATCCTTTGATGGAAGAAGTTGTAAATGTTGAAATACTTAGGAAACTATTTGACTTGGCATTTCAGTGTGCTGGACCCGTGCGAAATGATCGACCAGACATGAAGTTGGTGGCAGAGGAATTATGGGCAATAAGGGCTGATTATCTCAAGTCTAAGGAGAGGGGAGCATAAAACAAACCGCAGCCAAGAGAAGTCTCATCTCCACTTTACCCAATTTCTTTCCTTTTCACTTTTTCATGTTTTGTGGGTAGATTTTTTTTTCTTTTTCTTTTTTGGGTGCAAATATAAACTTCCTTTATTAGTGATTTGACGGACCTAGTAAAATGCTCTTGCAAATATCCTTAATTTTCCCCGACATGTTTAATGGCATCAGGCTGAGTTGATTATCTGAAGTTTAAAATATACTATTTCGTGATATATTTAATGATGATTATAACAGGTACAAAAAGACCCACTGGAGCCACAATTCCACAGCTAAAAAAACACACAGAAAGAAGTGAGTGACAAGGAAATTGAGAATTGATGAGTATTGAAACTCAGAATTGGTATTCTTGCTTAAAATATTTCTGATAGCATCATCGTTTGTGTTAAAAATAAGGCTATCCAGATTATTGCAGTGATCAGGAGGGTATTGGACTTTCTTTTAGTAAACAGATCGGCCAATTATGGGGCGGGCTTCTGCTGCATCAAATGGGCATGGTTGGCAAGGTGTAAGCCATGGTAGTTCAAAAGGAAGACTGAATGTGAAAACGGAGATGAAGCAAGCAAGAAAGATTTTATAAGCAATACCCGTTCTGAAACGGAGAGAAGAGAATCAATCAATCAAGGGTAAATTAGCAAGTTATATTAAACATTTAAACCAGATATTTGTAAAAGTAATTGCCTACAAAAGTCACAAACAAAAAAGTACGGTTGAGTTGGTATCAATTAACTTAAAAATTTTAATCACGGACACAATTTTCTTGAATACAACAGGCTGATATGACTATATGAGATATAGGGGTGCATCTCTTTAACATCGCCCAAAAGGTGCAAAAAAACATTAAAAAAAAGGGGTTAGAAAAGAAGAGGGAGGAGAAAAGGGTAAATGGGGACAGAGAGGGGAGGTCTTCCCTAGGTTTCAAAACTTTCAACTTGTCATTTATGTGAAGTTTAGTCGCGTGATTGAGTTAGTTAACAATGAAAAAACTCAAAATTTGTTGCAACAAAAGACATGGTTACTCCCTCTCTTTCTCTCTCTCTCTCTATATTTATAGTGATTTGGTATTCATCATCACTCGGCAAATTATGAATTAACGATGGAAGAAGAGAAAGGAAAGGTTTGCATGATGGGTGGTACTGGCTTCATGGGATCATGGCTAATCATGAAGTTTCTTCAATAGGGTTACTTTGTCTATACCACCATTAGAACTCACCTCTTTTACCAAAAAAAGAAAAAAAAAACCATTAGAACTCACCCAGTAGGGTTTTTTTTTTTTTTCAAATGTTTTGGCCTAGTTTATGTTGTACCTTGAAATTAATTTTTCTTAATCCGATTAAAGGTAGATCATTCACATTAAAACTAGGAAATTTAGGAAAAATTAGTTTTAATTGGCCTTCTTAAGGAATCCAACCTTAGTCAATAAAGTGCGGACCAAACTCTTTGACCAATTAAGTCACAATTGCTTGGGGTATGCATTGATTAGAATCTCATTTTATTATTCAACTACTTGAAAAGATATGTAGTATATGCTTATTAGCTGTTCGATGTTTTGTCTCTTTGGGTGATCAATTATGAGCTGTAAAGCAAAAGAGTGACATTAGCTTCTTCTCTTGATTGCTTGGAAAAACAAAAAGTCTGAAAATCTTCCATGTTGATCTTGAAGATCCAAATGGTTTTGATGCAGCCATTGATGTAGAGAAGTCTTTCATCTGGCTGTTCCCATGTATCTCAAAGACAAAGAATCTCCAAAAATGGTTGCCAACAAGGCAATTAATGGAACACTAGGCATCTTGGAGACATGCCTTAAAACAAAGACAGTGAGACAAGTGGTTTACACTTCTAGTGCATTTGCCATCTTTGCTAGCTATAAACGGAATGAAGTGAAGATGATGGGTGAAAGCTTTTGGAGCAATGTAGATTTCATCAGACAATTTATACCTTTCGGCGGTTCATACTTGATTCCCAAAACATTAACAAAGAAGGCTACTCTTGAATTTGCAATGAAAAATGGATTAGATCTGGTCACCTTAATCCCTTCTTTTCTTGTGGGTCATTTCCTTTGTCCCAAGCTACCAGAGTTTGTGTGCATGGCATTGGCTCTAGTCTTTGGTATGTATACTCCAAAATATGTATGTGTACTTTCATTTGTCCCAAGGTGCCAAAGTTACTATCCATGGCATTAGCTCTAGTCTTCGGTCTGTATAAGTAGAAGAGCTAGCTCTAGCTAATTATGTTTATTCATGAAAATCCTTCAAGGAAAAGTGAAGCATATATTCATCTTTCAAATGCACTGATGGTGCATGTTGATGATGTTGCCATGGTGCAAATCTTTCTACTTGAGCAACTTGATGCCACGGTGTTTGGAAGGCACATTTGTTCCTCCCATACAATAACGCTCATAGAATTGTCTCAAAATTTTTCTGCCAGATGTCTAGAATTCATAATACCTTCACCTGATTGAGTACTATCCCCTTTCTCCCTTGTTAGGACTTAGGCCTTTTGTTGAAACTTGAAAAGTCAAAAAGTTACATTTGGCTTTGTAGTTCCTTGGAAAAAGTTCAAAGTTTCAAAGCACCTAGATTGGAAGAACCTGGGCCGAATTTGGGTCCAATCCTGTGACTAATCTAACAATCTTTTGAGTCAAAGATTATGATTTGTGAAAGTTTAAACTAAAATTATTAATAATAATTGGTCTCTATACTCACATATCAAATTCACTCACTTTCTTATTAATGTGGGATTTGAGATGTTACATAGATTTTCATTAAGGAAACTGTTGGAGAATGGCTTCATATTTAAGTATAGTGTGGAAGAAATGTTGGATGATGCTATCAAATGTTGGAAGGAGAATAGGATATCTCAGACAATGATTAGTTAATTTTCTTCTTCATGTGGCTTTTCTTCTTGTAGATCATGAACAGTAGAATTTGAGTAATAATTTATGTTTATGCTCATTGTGGCTTATTTACTTGTAATTGAACTCTATCGTGCATGGGATGGCTATGTTATAAAAGTCTAGACTTGGGAGAATTGGGATGGGTTCTTGTTGAGCTATAATTATGGGTAAGCTGAGCTATATATCTTTATCACCGAAGGAGTGGCTCGAAGAAATTTTTCTTAAGACTAGCCCATACAATATTGTGTTTTTTTTTTCTCTTTAACTATTTATTTTTTATGCTTTTTCCCCCTTAACTATTTGCTAAAATTGTGGGTGCGTTATTTCCCATAAAAAAGTATTGTATGTGTATTATTTTAAATTGAAATAATGTTATTATCACACACTAAAATGTCAATCTCATTTTGAATACTATTTTATTGTACTTTTACTCATCTATAAATGAGAAGTTGATGAAATACATTATTTTTAAAACTCATCAATTTGGCAATGACTTAAATAGTTAGTAATTTTTTTTTTTTTTTGGAAATAAGAGATCTTATAGTTGAGTTGCATGCATAATATGGGCAAAGGCTTATTTTTAGCCCTTTATCTTATTAGATTTATAAGTTTTAACCCATCACTTTATATTATGACATTTTTAGTTATTTACCTATTAGAATTAAAGAAAATAGCCCTTATTTATAACATTTTGTTAGTTTTGTTAGTTGTCTGTTAACTCTATTAGTTGATTATTAACTGACTATTAGTTGGCAAAAATCTACTTTCAACTAATAGAGTTAACAGTCAATTAATAGAATTATTCTGTTAATTAACTATTAACTCTATTAGTTTACTATTACTTAACTGTTAGTTGGTAAAAACATACTTTTAGCTAATAAAATTAACAGTTGGCTAATAAAATTAATAATAAGTTAACAAAATTAATGAAATGTTATAAAATGAAGGTTATTTTTTTCAATTCTAATAGATGAAGGGCTAAAAGTGTTATAGTATAAGTTGAGAGGTTAAAACCTATAAATCTAGCAAGGTAAAGGACTAAAAGTAGGTTTTTTCCCATAATATGAAGGATGGAGTGGATTAAAAAATAAAAAAAGTTGTCTTTCTTGTGAGTTGTGGTTATAACTACCCATAAAAGTGTTGGGACCACCCATTTTTACAATATTTGTCTTTAAAATATTAATATTATTTGATTTAATTATTAAAAATTATTGATAATGATTGTTGTTTATTAATTAACTTTTTTTAATAATAATTTAATTAAACCACGTAACACTCAATAATAGAAATAAAACCCCCCAAATTGATTGACTATTGTAAGAAGAACAAAAACACTTTTTCAAATTTACTACAAAATAATTAAATTATTAATGAATTGTAAAACTTTAGTTCATATGAAAAATGAAAAGACCTAAATTTGTAAGATTGAAGCCTCCATCAAGAATCATATTGTGTTCACTCACATACTTGGACTCATCACTTGCCAAGTGCCGCTGCTGCCACATCCTCCGGCTCTAGGATCTCTCCTCTTAAGATTAGCAACTCCAAGCATCTTGAACATATTCCTTGTCACCTCATCATAGGCCACCATATATGGTGACACACAATTCACCTGAATGCCATATTGTCCCAATTCTATTGCAGCGTTCCTCATTAACCCAAGCACACCATACTTTGAACCTGTGTAAGAGGTGACTCCACCAAATGTGGAAGCGATGCTGGATGTTGATTATGCTGTCTCGACCAGCGTGAATCGTTACCCGCGCTACATGCTTAGTCCCAACAGAGCTCCCATGAGGTTCACATTAAGAACATGTTATTAGAAATTTGTTTTTTTTATCAATAAAAATACCCCCAATATTTCTTAATTTTCTCATAACGAACGTATTATTTGATAGCAATAATTAAGCGGCTTAGCAACTAATTCTCTCAATAAAAGTGAGATTGGAAGAGGTATTCCAAACAATATGAAAAGTACCGGCATTTTTTTTTTTTGGTGGAAAGCAATAATTACATTAAAATATTAATATATGCTCTTAGGGGAATGGGAGTATGAGTCCTGGGCTTGAACTTCTTATCATCATCACCTTGCTTTTCCAATGTGATGGCCACACGGTTGACCGGCGAGATACGTTTGGTTACCATAATATTTAAATATTAACTATTTATT